TTTACGAAAATTATACGGAGGACAGGTATACTGTGTAGGAAAACCGTGGGAGAATCCGATTCTTAAATAAAGTCTGGGAATTTAATATATTTCTAATTTTAATATGTATTTTTAACGCTATGCTTTCAATTTTGAGCACTGTGTTCTTAATCCAGTTATATAATATGTTTTGATACTATATCTCTAAGCTTGGTATCTTTCTTTGACACTATAGTTTTGATCTTGGTATATCTTTTGCTACTTATTTGATTTTAGAATATATTTTTGAAACTATATTTCTAATCCTAATTTTTTTTTCTTTCTTCTTTTTTAGCCATTTGACATATTCTAATCCTAGGATACACTATACTTCTAATCTAGGTAAGCATCTTCACACTACATTTTCAATTTTGATATATTTCTTCATAAATATAATATGAACGAATATAATATAAAATCAATTTTTTAGTCACAGTCCAAGCAAATTTCGTACAACGATTAAGAAAGGTAAGAACTACAATCCAGTATTTTATTACTCATACTATGTACAACTATTCCATTATCGGTGGAATGATATAACTGGAAGAGAAGTAATTTCTTGCGTACAAACAAGAGCGGAAGTACATACTAGATTTTCCATTTTTCCTTTTTTTTATAGGCGGTTTTATTTTCGAGGAAGACCTGCTTCATAGCCGAACGACCTCTGCATCACCATTTTCATTCCTACCTTAGCATCGACTCGGAAAACCACTGGACCTTGCACCTTTTGATTTCCACTCGTGAAATATACTCCGTAATATACACGACGTGTAGCATGCACCGTGGCAGAACGTAGAATTCGCATCACTGTTCGGAAAGTACACACGAGGAGCCATAAATACTCAATCTCTCCTTCATCAACGACCCACGTTAAGGTATACAACAGCCACCGCGACTATTATAGAACAATTACTGCATAATTGCGAAAAAGAAAAGGAAAAAAGAAGACGAACTCTTGGTAGGTTGAAATAAACCGTTCAACAAACGGCAGAGCCGTAGTTGTTTTTATTTCGCAATTACCCCGCTGTAGTTAACATCGTGTCGTTAAGTTCACTTTTACCGGAACCAACGCTGTCGTTTGTGTGGAGCGTTGTGGATTCCGTGTTGCTACCTTACACTGCAGATAAAATGTGCTACATTTAATTTTTATCGAGCCTGGCACGCGATGCAGAGCTAAGTGGCGGCGAGAAACACATGAATAATGAGAGGGCGTAAATGTTTCAAGCAACTCAAAAATTTCTATCCAAGGGAGAAAAAAAACTAGACTACGTGATGCAGAGGGTGGAATGTTTGCACGCGGATCGCAGTGGAAATGGGAACAATGTTGAAGAATTCGCTTTGTAAACATTTGGGGAGATAGAGAGGAAGAGAAGAAAAAGGGAGGAAGTGGGTTAAGGAAAATTTACAAGCGGGTTAAATTTAGTCGAGCGTGTAACGAGCTCCCGATTAATCCTTTCCACTCGATACAATTTTCTTCGTAAACAGTGCTGGTATCGGCAACTGGGACGCGTAATTCGAAAACTTTTCAAAGACACGACGATGTAGGTGTACACAGAGGTGTAAGATATTTCCACAGATGTGTACTCGCGTGCATGTTTCTACAGCGGGGATTTTTGTTGGTAAAATTCAATAGCAAAGAGTTGGAAACTTAAATTAATGTTCCTTCTTACATTTTAATTACCTTAATTTACCGGGATTGCTGATAAATATTCTTATCAAATTTTTCACATACGATAAAAACATTAACTTGCATGTAGAAAGTAACGTTTGAATCCTTACGTCTCACCAATCTTTCATCCTGCGCACTTTTCACACAAGTCACCCAATTTATTTTTCCAATTTTTACACGATATGTCCATTGAATAATTGTTCGTTTACAATGGTTTCAGATTTATGTGACCAAGCAAGGGGTCCAGAATTCCCATCATCTTCATCACTGTTTCTCAGAACATCGACTCGGTCCACGAAGCATCACTTACTCGGCAGGCACGCTAATTACGACGACCTTGCAACGAATAGACAGCCAAAAACGCGAATAGCCATTTACACTTTGACCAGAGGAAATTTAAAGAATCGCGGTAATCCGTGAAACGAGGCGACCGCGGTAAAGCGGCCTTTGATTTCCGCGGCGTTGAGTTGGCGCTTTCGGGACACTCGTGAAGCGGCGTCGCGATCACGCCAGCGCTTTTCCGGCGCCACGCGCCGCGGCGCGCGCCTCTTCGCAGGCGACGAGAAAACGACGCTGGGACCGGCGAAAAGGGCACGGAAGGGAATGAAACGCAACGCGGAGGGGTGGAGGGTGGAGATTACGCGAAAACGAGGTACACTCGCTCGAAGGAGTATTTTAATCGTCGGGAAGCGGAGGCAGGTCGAGGGAAACGCGCCGGAAGCAGCAATTCCTTCCCCTGTTCCACCCACTCTGGCTGCAGGGTGGGAACGGAGGAACCAGGCTGAGAAAAATAATCCAATTTAGCAAGAGCGAGAGAGAACGAGAGAGAGAGAGAGAGAGAGAGAGAGAAACGACAGGCTGCAGTTCGCCTGTTTTCACGGTTTTTAATTACGCGCCTCCTCGCGTCGCCGCCCTCTCGCGTGCGCACTTTGTCGTCGCGATCCTGACAAAGGAGCCTGTTTTCATGGATATTTCACGGAGCCACGACGAGTGGAGAAACTCGTGCGACTCCACCCGGCTCGTTGCAGCCCCTGTGACTCCGCGAATACCTGGCGCGGACCGTTTGCCCCGCGTTACCTTGCCCGCTTTCCCGTTTTACTACGGTGCAAAGGTAATCCAATTTTTAGGTCTCTCTCTCTCTCTCTCTCTCTCGCCGACCAGTTGTCTCTCTTTGTTCCTCGTTTCACGCGTATCCGCGAAGTGTAAGAGCAGCGTACCTTGCAGTGGGTTTCGTTGATTTGGATTTGCTTGTTTAGGTGTCAGGAAGGTTGGCAGAAGATAGCGTGAGGATGAGGTGACTCGGAGACTCGAAGGATACATCGTGAGAGTTTTCTGTTGCTCACAAGGTAATTCGTGGTATGGTAGACTGAAAAGAGAATTGTTTGTTCACAATATTTAATTCTTATTTCAGGGTCTTAGAGATTGGCTAGACACGAGAGACACTGATATCAAGGAAGAGGTTAACAGGAAAATCATGTGTGTCCTAGTTTTTGTGATTCTATTAACGAAGGTGAGTATCAAGTTATATTTGTATAATCTTCTGATTATGATATTGTGTACTGTGTGATGACTTTTGGTATTCTAGGTAGTGATGCTCCTCGGAGACAATGAAATAAGTGCTCTGCTCATGCAATCTCATTTCTATTCTGAGATTCCATGGACACAGTGAAGATGGTATACACTAGGGTGAGTGAAGAAAATGTCTTATCTTTATGGTTGGCAAAGAGTCTAGTGGGATTTAACCGATTATGTCTGTACTCCTTTTATTTATCACCCTTTGAGTAACGCTTAAGATTGCATATTGATTATTATACACTGGATGATGGACGTAGAGCGTGAAGGCAAGAGAGTACTTTACTTGCACCATTTAGTCCCTACCCTAACTCTTCACACCGGATATCGCACCCTGACAATTAGGCCAATTAGGAAGAGTCCCCTACTTGAAGTGCTTAAATCCTATTCTAAGTCTTCACACTGGACATGGTATCCTGATAATTAGTGCAACCAGGAAGAGTTCTCTATTTGAACTGTCTAATTACTATCCTAAGTCTATATACAGAGTATTCTGACAATTGAGTCAACTAGAAAAAGGCAGGTAGCCTATTCTTTATAACTTTATTAACGGAGGTTAATAACAAGGTAAGTTTTAAACGTATAGGAACTTTTGCTGATCGATCAGGAGAAACATGTGAAAATTTTGTCTTGTTTCAAGGGTTGTTATTTGGTCATGGTAGTCATGATCCATCCGTCGCTTTTTGGAGTTTTATCACCACTGGCTGGAATACAGGATTGATACGTACACGTGCTGGCGCGATACCGCAGCTCGAATTTTATTTACCAAGACCCCGAGTCGTTGAGGTAACCCATCGTGCATCGACTCAGCTGGATGTATATTCGGTGGGAACGTTTCTTCGGAACGATCGTAAAAACTACGCAACGATATCTTCTTCTGGGAACGCTCCGCGGTTTTATTTGACCCGTTGCCTCGCGAACGAAATTTCCTCACGAGTTCTTTCGTCTTTGTGAATTTTTCGCTCGTGAAAAGTGGCGAGGCGCTTTGAGAATTTGCCGATTCGTGAAAGTTTAAATTGCTCCACGAGTGGTCAAATTTATGTCGAGCAAGATAATCTAGAATTAGGGTTTACCCGAACCATTTACTATTTCGTGTCAAAATTGTGTATGCTGTAAAGATTGTTTGGATGAAAGAAACGTTTTTGGACACAGCATCACCAACATTTTTTGATCCTATCAACCAAACGTACGAGTACATTTTGGTAGGAAAAAGCTTTTTAGAACTGACAATCTCATTTTGGAAAGGAAAGAATTATAAATATGTGCAAATACGAATTTGTAGCTATCTCTGTAAGACTAGATTCACAATCAAATAAATGTTTAGCTAATTAATCCAATAGTACATATCATTTCTCATTTATAGACTGTGACTAGGAAAAATTAATATATGTAAAATTAAGAACCTACAAATTGGGAAGAGAAAGATTGTTTAAATCAGTGTTTCGCAACCTTATTTGTATTATAATTTGTGACTCCCCTCTCTTTGTTCTCTCTTTATATGATAGTGTACTTAATAAGGCATTGACAAGTTGAAAAATAATAAACATTTATTACAGTGTGACTACTAAAGCTTGATTATTAATGTAAATACACATCATGTAAAAAACTGACGACTAGAAATGATTGCCACGAATCACCAGTTGGGAACCAGTGCTTTAAACAACGACCAATATTTATGATAAAAAGAAAACTTAATAAAAGAACAAAACAAAAATATGGTCACGGTAATAGGGAGTCAACGTCATAAAGAATATTCAGAAATAAGTGCAACATAAGAATCTACAGAATCTTCATATTCCAAGTCACAAAAAAGTGTGCTATCTCTTAAGAACGAGGCCCCCAGACCCGAATTGCCCCGTAAATTGAATCTAAATTCGGTATTCAGTAAGAGACAGTTTGCAGTAAACGACGGTATCACCTGACAAAGCCAAAATCCCCTCTTAAACTTCCACCGTGAAAAACTGGGCAAAATCGACTGGATCCCCCGAGGGAACCGGTGGAAATTACCGGCAACGTGCTCGCCAGCGACGCGAGCGAAGGGGTAGCGGCGTGTACACGTAGCCCCGCGCGCGCGCTATCCTTGCGGGGTGCGCGGATTCTTAAATGGCGCGTAACAGGTGGATCGAAGGGTGCGCGCGGTCGCTTAAAAACAAAAGCGGCCGGTTCTAGCCGGCACGTTTAACAGCGAGGTAGGATTAAACTCACGTGTCCGAGCTTCTCCTCCTTCCGCCTCTTGGGATCGCTCTCGAGGTCGGGGGTGCGGCTGCGGAATTTCTCCGACGGCGACACGGATCGTCTGAGCCTCTCGTCGGTGAGGGCGATCGGTTTACGGTCCTCGGGCGTCTCCGCGGCCGCTCGGTGCTGCTGCAGGTCCGACGGTTTCAGCAGCGCTTGCGCCTGTGCCTGGACCGCAGCCGCGGCCGCGGGATGCGGCGGCGGCGCTAGATGAGGCGGCACCCCCGCGGCTGCGGCCGCCGCGGCCGCACCTGCGAAGCCCAATAGCCCCGCCGGCGGAAGACCGCCGACGACCGCACCGTGTGGCAGCTGCTGCGCGTGAATCTGTTGCTGGAACAACCGACAATGGACACGCTTACGCTTTTCCTACTCTCGTTCACGTGCCTCTCTTTTTTCCGGGTTTTCCCCTTTTTTGGGGCAACGGCTCGATGACGGTTGGGCGGATGAAATTAACCTTTCGGGTTGGGTGATCCGATTAACCCTTCCAATGGTGTGTACTCTTATCGCAGGTGTGTATATTCCTTTCCTTTTTGCCGCATTAACCCGTTGACCGTGCTGGTCTTTAGACAGATACCCGCGGCTCGAGAAATTTCCGTAATTTTTAAGGGGATTTGCTGTAATCCGGTTTGGAAAAATCGATTTTTTTTTTTTTACATTTTCTCCAAGCGTGTGCTTTCGAGAATGTCCGGGTGAAAGGTTTTATTCGAATTCGTGAAATTAACGGAGTTATGAATGTTTAAAGCGAGGCGTACATGGGTTGGGCAATGGGTAGCGAAAACATCAAACGCGTTTTTCTCGAAAACTTGCTTTTTGAACTGACTGACGGGATATCTCGCGTTCTAGTTGATCGATTGATTTGAAATTTCGTGGAGATCTTCACTAGATGTACCTTTATCGCGTAAACCACGGATTTCCAAATCTGATGCTTTTTTGTATTTTTGTTTATGACCCAAAGGACGAAAACACGAGGAAAATGGATATTTAAACTTCAAAAGGCTGCCAGTTTTTTAAACTTCGCAATTTCGCTATTTTGGGTGGTTCATGCTACAGCTGTACTTGTACTAATCAAGATGCTTTTTGCTTTTTTAATTTCTGATAACCAGATGGTCCGAAATCACGTCAGCCATTCGAGCCCGTTTTTAAAAACACGATTTACCTGAAGCTGCATAATTTTCACAATTTTCATTAATTTCGTTAAAAAAAAAATTACAAATATTTTCTAAATATAAATGAATCCGACTGCGAAAACTGCATGTCAATATGTATCATGGTTTCCTTACAAAAAATCGCGGAAAGTCGAGTTTTATGGACCGGATTACAACGATACTTTTCTATTTCGTTATGCGAATTTTGAGTTACTATGTAGGGTCAAGGATGTAATTTTGAAAAAATTTCGCAATTCTTGGGAAAGTAAGGATTTTTGAATTAGAGTAACGAACGAAGTGGAACGTGGAAGAAGCTACGTATCAATTTCTTCCGTATGCTCTATTTGTAAGAATATACGGTTAGAATTTACTTTTAATATTACTCGCAGTGTTTGGGAAAAAAAGGTGGATAAAGTTGGCATATTTAACATCGATAAAGTAAACCTGGCCGACTGTTTTTAAAAGCGAAATTAAAAACTAATAAACGGAAATTAATTTCAGTCAGATTGAGTTTAACTCTTGCTAATATAAATGCGGTGTAATATATTTTTTATATGAGCATAAGGGTGATTTAAAATTTGAAACCTGATAAATTAGCGAATTTTTGCATCTAGGATACTGGCAATTTCGGTAAGGAATTAACTCGTATTTTCCAAGTTCTTTTAAATACGAGAGTACTGCATTTCGAATATTAATTATTTATCGTTCCCAAGGGCTGGAATCTCCGTAGGACACACATTGATCGTGTTTACGTATACACCACTGGAAGGGTAATTTTTGCAAGGGTAGAACGTAATTTTGTAGGTAATAATGCACGCTTATCCCTTGCAAGCTTGAAGCTAAACTGTGATAATGGTTTCTGATGGCTGATTTTCGTGCAAAATCGTCCTTAAGTTTTAAGGGCAGGTAAGGACTGCTTTACAACGGCAAAGCATGCATTATTGTAACAAATTGGGGCCAAGTTTTACACGCTCGTATTTCTCTACTTATCGTTATAACGAAGTAAATACGGTCTTTATTCCTTGAACGGTTGGAAAATATAATTAAGAAACGTGTATTGAAAATTTCTTTGTTTATGCCGTGGTAATTGCTTTGGAAATCTAGATGCTATCGAACCGTGGTTGCCTCTTTCAATGCATCGGATGAAACTGCCAACTGTACTCCGGCTAATTATTTCGGAAATGTTTATCAATGGGAGTAAAGTATGCGACGAATTCAACACCGTTCGTGAATTCAACACCGGGCAATTTCAATAGTGTTAAGCTGCCAGATGTAAGCCGCGTCCAATAACATTTGTATACCAGCATTTGACCATTGAAACTAGCCTCGTCAGGATTAGATGAGACACTCGTGTTGGAGCGTGTATTTGTATTAGACTACAAATAGGAACATATCAGAATGGACACCTTAGTATCAATGTTTCGCTCGATCCTGATGGAGCAAGATTTGTATTGTCTAAACACGTACACACCAATGTTATTACGTTCTGCATCCATTGAATGATCGACGCCGTATGAATATTAATTTTGATTGGAAAATTCGAAGATTGATCGTTCTGGTAAATTTTGATACAAATAATATATTTAAAGATACTACCGAGTAAATATTAGGTGCAAGGAAGAATTCCGTGATTTACTTCAACGATATATAACTAAAGTACTGAGATATCTCAGCACCCTTTGACGTGTTTATATTCTCGACGTTTAATTTATGAAATATCGTCCCGTTTATCACTTTGTTCGCGATATGATCCAGAGAGAGAGAGTCGCAAAGACAATGACAGCCGATAAAATATACTGAAGTACTACTAAACTCGTTAAAATAATTCTTCTTTTCTACTTCTAGATTCAATATCAAGATATATAGTGTAACATAAAAGCAAGAATTTAAATTTAGAAACAATACACGTGCATCTAAAAATTTATAAAGAACAGAAGCTACCGGTTCGATACACTCAAAAGGTAAAGGTGAAAATTCCTGAAAAATAAAGGTACTTTTTAAAAGCACAGAATTCTTCTCTACACCTAAAAAGCTTGCAGCTTGCCCCGAAATGACTCCAGGATATCTTCGTACCGTTTGAATTAATATACATAAAGCGACGACCCAATTACGAAATAAGAAACACGGATCAGCGTGAAATAAATGTTTTAATGATTGTGCATTCACGCTTAGCTCAAGTGGTCGCGACCCTCTTCAAACGAGTTAACCTAATTTCGGCTTGCCACGGCATAAATTAAGAAGTTCGGATTTAGACTCTGTGGAATACGGAAATTTCCTTTAAATCATTCCTTCCCTTTCCTATCTTCAGGCTGTCCATTTTCTTTTAACGCCTTTTAAAAATAATCCATCCTAATGTCCAACCAGGGGTGTAGGTAAGTGTCTAAGAAAAAGGATGAACTCACCAATAGCTGCTGTAGACCCTGTTGTTGCTGTTGCTGCAAAAGGAAACAGTCAAGAATTAGTCGACGACGATTCGTTCGTAAGTACTGCATTTCGAATATTAATTATTTATCGTTCCCAAGGGCTGGAATCTCCGTAGGACACACATTGATCGTGTTTACGTATACACCACTGGAAGGGTAATTTTTGCAAGGGTAGAACGTAATTTTGTAGGTAATAATGCACGCTTATCCCTTGCAAGCTTGAAGCTAAACTGTGATAATGGTTTCTGATGGCTGATTTTCGTGCAAAATCGTCCTTAAGTTTTAAGGGCAGGTAAGGACTGCTTTACAACGGCAAAGCATGCATTATTGTAACAAATTGGGGCCAAGTTTTACACGCTCGTATTTCTCTACTTATCGTTATAACGAAGTAAATACGGTCTTTATTCCTTGAACGGTTGGAAAATATAATTAAGAAACGTGTATTGAAAATTTCTTTGTTTATGCCGTGGTAATTGCTTTGGAAATCTAGATGCTATCGAACCGTGGTTGCCTCTTTCAATGCATCGGATGAAACTGCCAACTGTACTCCGGCTAATTATTTCGGAAATGTTTATCAATGGGAGTAAAGTATGCGACGAATTCAACACCGTTCGTGAATTCAACACCGGGCAATTTCAATAGTGTTAAGCTGCCAGATGTAAGCCGCGTCCAATAACATTTGTATACCAGCATTTGACCATTGAAACTAGCCTCGTCAGGATTAGATGAGACACTCGTGTTGGAGCGTGTATTTGTATTAGACTACAAATAGGAACATATCAGAATGGACACCTTAGTATCAATGTTTCGCTCGATCCTGATGGAGCAAGATTTGTATTGTCTAAACACGTACACACCAATGTTATTACGTTCTGCATCCATTGAATGATCGACGCCGTATGAATATTAATTTTGATTGGAAAATTCGAAGATTGATCGTTCTGGTAAATTTTGATACAAATAATATATTTAAAGATACTACCGAGTAAATATTAGGTGCAAGGAAGAATTCCGTGATTTACTTCAACGATATATAACTAAAGTACTGAGATATCTCAGCACCCTTTGACGTGTTTATATTCTCGACGTTTAATTTATGAAATATCGTCCCGTTTATCACTTTGTTCGCGATATGATCCAGAGAGAGAGAGTCGCAAAGACAATGACAGCCGATAAAATATACTGAAGTACTACTAAACTCGTTAAAATAATTCTTCTTTTCTACTTCTAGATTCAATATCAAGATATATAGTGTAACATAAAAGCAAGAATTTAAATTTAGAAACAATACACGTGCATCTAAAAATTTATAAAGAACAGAAGCTACCGGTTCGATACACTCAAAAGGTAAAGGTGAAAATTCCTGAAAAATAAAGGTACTTTTTAAAAGCACAGAATTCTTCTCTACACCTAAAAAGCTTGCAGCTTGCCCCGAAATGACTCCAGGATATCTTCGTACCGTTTGAATTAATATACATAAAGCGACGACCCAATTACGAAATAAGAAACACGGATCAGCGTGAAATAAATGTTTTAATGATTGTGCATTCACGCTTAGCTCAAGTGGTCGCGACCCTCTTCAAACGAGTTAACCTAATTTCGGCTTGCCACGGCATAAATTAAGAAGTTCGGATTTAGACTCTGTGGAATACGGAAATTTCCTTTAAATCATTCCTTCCCTTTCCTATCTTCAGGCTGTCCATTTTCTTTTAACGCCTTTTAAAAATAATCCATCCTAATGTCCAACCAGGGGTGTAGGTAAGTGTCTAAGAAAAAGGATGAACTCACCAATAGCTGCTGTAGACCCTGTTGTTGCTGTTGCTGCAAAAGGAAACAGTCAAGAATTAGTCGACGACGATTCGTTCGTGAATTACATTCGAGGAATTAAATTGGTACGCAAGCAGCCCGAGTGCAACACACTGTGCCAAGATCAATGTCCAACTGCTTGCCAAAAGTAAGAAGTTAATAGAATCAATTGTAAAGAAGCTCACCCCAATAATAGCGTTCAGCTCGGACATCGTGACTTGCTTCGCTCTCTCTACGGCATTGGCCACCTGCTGCTGATGCTGCAAGCCATGCTATCATTATCGCGTCGTTGTCACTCTCGATCGTGAGATTGTACGGCACACGTGCCAAACAGAAAGTCAAAGACTCACCTCTTGTGCCAGGAACGGTAGTAGCTGCACGATTATCGCGTTCAACCTCTTAGCTATCTCGGTCTGAAAATGCAACAGAAACGCATCATCAGTGAATATACCGAAGGATTCGCGACGTGTACCGATTTCGGCACTTTCCAACTTTCCTTTCGCGCGGAACATGTTTAAAGATCTGTTGGAGAGTGTCCAAAACGCCAAGTGACACTGGCAATCGATATCGCGACGTTCTGATTAAACCTCGATTGGTACATTTTATCTTTTTCAATTGTGTCACTTGGTTATATTGTACCTTAAAACATACACAGTAATTAGTTAAGCGAAAGTAGTTAAAATCATTCTTTCGTTTGTATCTACAATTGATAATGCCAATGATATTAAATCTAATACCTTTTTTCCTGGTATTCATAATGTTAAATATGAATATCGTATTTGCATTTAGTTGCATACAATTTTATCTTTCAAGAATATCATAAAATTCGTCAGTGCGTATTGCACATGGTTTCCTAAAATTGTTCTTCTAATTTTAAATACTATTTCCTCGTTGATCTGCCAATCTTGATAGTCGCGATATTTATGATGATTACTATACTATTTGTGTATATTGGCTATAACCTCTTCGTTCTTCTTCTTTAATTCAAAGTAACCTTAACAAAAGTTTAATTCGCAAAGCGAGGATGTATTTTAAATCAAAATAACCCAATAAACCTATTTAAAATCAAATTGATGCTTCACGTGACACTGTACCATAATCTGCATTTAAAGCGGATGATCCCTTACTTTTGACCGGCAATGTATATTTAACCCTTTGAGCGTTTAGTGCGTATATATGTATATACATCGAACAGGCGAGCTAAAATGTGCCAGAGTGTTTAGTCTGGCTATCCGCTACGGTTAAAGTAAACGAGTGACTTCGTAAGAAGAGATTCAAATAGAAAGATAGTGTCTAACGTGACAAATGTATTCATAAAAATATCAAAGACACGAAAACGGAATCTTCCTGTTTCGTTACTTACTTCACACAAGGCCAATATCCTTAAATAAATTTTTGCTAATAATTTTTCCTATCGCAGTGCGACGAAGAATCGTACCAAGATTTATATCTTATATCTCGTATTATCTACAATATTTATAGAAGAAAATTGTACCATTAATAAATATTCCATTAATCATAAATAATCAGAAACATAAAAAAAGACCGATTCAAAATGAATGAAAATAAAAATATACATACGAAACGTATTTTTAGGTTACTTTTAACAAGTATAACCTATCTACGACGTATATTTTTTCGTCGCCATTGCTCACTTTATTGAGCTTCGTAAGGGATAGTCGATTCCCTTTGGTTACTTGATCGCGAAGCATCGTGAAACGGTATACCCGAATTAATAAACAAACCGAGACAGACAAGCAGTATCGATTTTTAATAACCATTTAAATCGCTGAAATTATAACGTCCGTGTGTCAACCGGGTGACAACAAACGCGAAAATGTCCAAACACCGTCACAGCCTATTAGCAGTAAACGCTATGCGATGGTGTCGTTCCCAATGGTTCGTGAAATGCAAGCAAAAAAACACGGGGGAAAAACGAAAAAAGAGTTTAATATCGCGATACACCGAATCTCAATGCGCGAGTACCCCGATAACTCGACGAATTAATTGAAAAATCGAAGAGAGCACAGCATGCGCGGCGACGAGTCGCGAAAACAGCGTGCAAACGTCATGAAATTCGGGTGAGGTTAACGTTGCGGCGATCGGCGCGACACGTGACGAGCGTTCGACGGACACGTGAACCCGCGTTCGAGACCCGCGCACTCTTTCGACGGCGAACAGAGTCACTCGTTAATGCGCGTCGATCAAATCGATTCGCGATTACACCGACGGCCACGTGACGCGTTCACAATGACTACAAAAGAAAGGAACGAACACGAACGGGGAGGAGAACGGGAAACGTCATAAAATTCGTTTCGATATTGAAACGCATCATAATCATCCCGATGCTGAAATATTGAACGCGTGCCGTCGAATTTACCGCGTAATTCCGCTGATTTTACCGATCTGCGAATACGTTTGTATTACGCTTTAAACGCCCCCTTGTGTCTTTTTAAATATTCCAGCGGAAATAATGTTTTTGCCGGGAGCATGTAGATGCATATAGGTTATACATGTTACGAAGCATTACAGGTTAGATCTACTTCGATAAAGGACTTCGCACTGTTGAATAAAGGTTGAAGACACTTTAGTTAAGTTATTTATTTTCTGAAATATTATTATATGTGTATTTTTGATATTTTTTGGTATTTATTGCAGAATACGTTAAAATTACGTGTGCTTTTAGGTTGCAAAACTAATGTGGTATCTTCGAACGTTTTAATAAGATATCATTCAAGGTAGATTCTTGGCAACTGGTGAGAAGCTATATGTACGTATATGGTAATGTGAGATAGTAACGTGGTATGAATGTTTTGAGTACCTGAGTGCTTCGAGTGTTAGAAATACGGAGAAGGACCGAGTACTTGAAATTAAAGCGCAGAAGAAGGGTATATGTCCACTTGCTCCCATAACCTCAAGTTTTCTCGAACAGACACTATCAGGGGCGAAGGAAGGTTAATCGAAAACTTGTGCCTAACTTCATAGCACTGAAATTGAACTCGATATGAAGGATCATTGTTCGACTAATCGTAAGTCTGAAAAACTATCGAAGTCAGTATATAATGACATAATAAAATAAATATTGCTATACAAAATGTACATTAAAATACAAAATTTTGATTTCTATTTTATTTAATTTACATTATGTTAATTTAGGTATGTGAATGAGGCATAACAGCGAGAAAGAATACTCGACTATCCAATCAGGAGATAAATTTACTTCGTAAGTATAACTATAAGTAAAATCGAATTATCTATATCTACTGCGAGTAGAGGGTAAATATACTTCGATCGTCGAAATGTATTAAACTATAAGAGAAATGAAAATTTCCTTATTTTTGTTTCAGGCAGTCCAGCATAAAGTACGAACACTTACAGAACCGCAAACAGTTGACATACCTATATCGAATCACGACTGACAAATAACATCAGGCATACGCGTCTATTACACGATTTCGACAGATTAGTTTCAATAATTCAACGAATGTGATCAAATATGTACAGTAATCAACATTACGGAGATCGACACACAATCGGAGCATCTATTGCAAAGCGTCAATATAACAGCCTAATTGCATCGAAGCTTACTAACAACATTACCCGCGCACAAATTAATACTCTATTTGCACAATGATGCTTCATCTGCGATACATTATCCGTCTTTTATATTGCGTTCCTTGATCATCGCCATGTATCGTGTTTTAACGTTTCAATTGGTTGAAAACAGCGACGATATCTGTGTTTCAATCGAGGACGAACGCACGATACCTATTTGCCACTTGTCTTTATGAACTTCTTGTGTTTGATTTGGATTTTGCAAACGGTACCATTACTTGAAATCTAGAAGATTGCAATTTTATGTGCCACTTACATCTGACGATTTTAAATTTAATAATTAGATATAGGTCATAATCACTTGGCGCTTTTAAGTTATTCGAAACCCGCGATGAAAGCATGTAAAGCATGTGCATCCTACATTCCGTGTAATGCTTCGATGTTGTTAAGAAGTTGACATTAGACTGAAAATTTAATAGGTCGAGAAGGTGCACTGTACGACAATACAATGCTAAAGAAAGAGAGTGTAATAACTGAAACTGATATTATTCTGGACATCATATTCTTATTTCCATCACTTTGATGTTAGCTCAAGAGATATTCCAACTTTGTGAGATGGTCTTACGATAAAACTCTGGTTTAGACTGACTTAAATAATCGTGATACCTTCTTGAGAAGTCTCCGATGCATAACTTATGCCTGAATACTTCTTATCTTTAAATAGAACATGAGACATAACTCTCATCGATTTCTTCACGCTTATACTCTTACAAGATGATCTTCTCACCTAAAATTTGTACAATTCACTGGAGTGACCGATGCTAAATAATTCCTCACGCGTACTATCTATATTTCTAATTCTCGAATTCCAATTTGCAGCACGATCGTGTTCAAGAACGACTTCCCGAAGAGGAAGAACCCTCCACAGACCTGGACCACCTTTATCTCGAATTCCAAGGACCACGTCGATCCCTGTGATCTTCGGTTTACACGCGTGCTGGTAATATTCGTGGTTTTTCTGCATCGCGACAGCAGCCGACGTCGCAGGGACGCGACATGCATCTAAAGCTTCGATCCGAAAAAAATGTCATTATTCCCACGGGGGACAGAAAGATGGAAAACTGCCGCGTCCACGTCAGTTCGATTTCGGCCTGGTCCCAGTCGGGAGGTGGCGGAGAAGAAGGGTGTGCAGCGGAAAAAAAGGCTTGAGCGAAAAAACCGACAAAGAGAGGTCGACGGAGAGAGACGGAGAGACACGGAGAGAGGACAACAGAGAGACAGGAAAACGCGTGCGGAACGGAGATGGTACGAGGACGACGGAGAGAGAGAGAGAGAGAGGGAGGGAGAG